TGCGAAATACCGAGAGGCCTAATCGGTTTTGGATGGAGGACGAAGCTGATTCCGACCTCATTCACGCGGAAACAAATCCCGACAAATTTGACGAGGATGATATTATGTCTCTAGCACATGCCAAGTTTGAGGAATTCCGCGAATATAGGGAGTACGCTCGTATTGCTGCCTGGCAGATGCCTCTTCTCTCGAGTAAGCGCCGCACATCGCAACAAGACCGTATACTGGTTGATTAAATCATTTACAGAGTTGGCCACTCCTTTCGAGGCACCTACCGCCCAGGAACCCTTGCGATTTCGATATACCAGCTATATGGGAGAGTTCCATCCTGCGGAGAAGAAGGTCGTGGTTGAATTCTCTCCAAGAGATTTGCCTCTCAATGAAGCACAACAGCAGAAGCTAAGAAAGTTATTGGGGTCGCGGTGGAATCCTGAGACCGATATCGCCAAGATGAGCTGCGAACAGTTCGAACACGCTGCGCAGAATAAAAGGTATCTCGGTGACCTTGTGAACAAGCTAGTTGCACAAGCAAAGGTAGATATGCTCCCCCATTTTCTTCTTTCGAAGAGGCTACTCACTGGCCAAATCGCTGTAGGACCCCACAGATACGTTCGAGGATGTCCCGCTTGACACGAGACACCACACTTTCAAGGTCAAGCCCAAATTCCCAAAGGAGTGGCGTATGACGGAGGAACGACAACGGTTCCTCGAGGACACGAGGCAGAAAGCCTTATTACTAGATCAGGCGAAGGAAGAGGAGGGCACGCTGGTGAACGGCGCGGAAAAGATTAACGCGTTTTTTAACCCTCCTGTGACTCCCAAGATCGCCGATATGGCGGCTGCCCGCTTGGGTCAGTCATTATCAAAGCCTCCGCTGAGGAGACACCAGCACCAGCCACTCACGAGGCGCTAGGTGTATGAAAATACCATGTGTATACTACTATCATGTAGAACTAGATTCGCTCCAAGGAGTCTGACTGTACAAATGTAACCCACATTACAGAAGCAATATCCAATACCCGTAACGGCGTCTAGATGAAAGAAGCAGCAGCATTCATATGACACTGAACGCAATTAAAGTGACAATGTGCAAACGTGTCACTGAGCCCATTTCAATGCCAGAATTTACTACTAATGTATTCTCGTGACCAAGGTGATGTACTGTAGCCTAGAATAAGGTACTTACTTACCTGCTTTAGGTTTGTCCACCTGCCTTCTAAGCTTTAGGCAACTGCCCTACAGCAACTCTGAGGCGGGAAAAGAGCACGGACCATACTAAAGAGGTAGGCAAACAATCACTTTCTGCCGCCCCACACCGCCTCAGCCTACCTGTCCCACGGGTATAAATTCTCGCCCTCCCTCCCAGAATTTGACTGTTTCTTCTTTTCTTCTTTAGCTCTCTTTGCCTTTTGGCTTAGATCAAGTGTAGTATCTGTTCTTTTCAGTTTAATCTCTGAAAGAGTCCTACTGGACTCAATCGTGATTATTCTAATTTTTTCCTCCCGGGAGCGCATCCTCTGTGCTTGCGCATGATCGCTCCCACCGTGTCCCTGGTATTACACTGCCTCCAGGCGACGCGAACCTTTTCACTTTTCATTGCAATCTACAGCGTGCCTGTGGATGTGAAGAAGAGTTGTCCCCGTGTATAGTTTCGAAGTATGATTTGGGTCTCTGGTTTCTGACTGGTCTCGGCGAGCTTCAATACAGGTTGAGATGATGTTATTTTGGTACTAGCTAGGCATATTTGCAATATAGGATTGCAAGTTGTAGAGCGCTTGCAGGTGCGATGTTGAGATGTTGCCTACCTATCCCCAACACTTTTTTCAATGTGATTGTAATTTGGGATGTTCAAATGGTTTGCACTGGGTAGAAATCATCATTTAATAACAAACTCGCGCCCACATCAGGCGGAAATTTCCACCATTTACACAACTTTTCAACTCATTGATCACCCACACATTAGTCAAGATGGCGAGCAGCAATAATTCTAACATGATCGATCCTGCTATCATCGAATACCTGAAAGCTCACGGCGAAGAGGAAATTGAGGTTGGCGACAGGCTTCACCAGATCTCTGCCTCTCTCAACCGCAACATCTCGACATGCCAAGGCCTCCTCAGCCGTATTCACTCCACACCAAGCTCGAAATGTAGGCACATAGCACGGTTTCCTCCTTTGTCGCTGTTTGCTAATGGTTCTAATTAGTGCCTCCGCTGCTCAAGCAGATAGAAGAGACTGGTATCCAGCCCGAGATTGAGGGCGTGGGAGAGCTCGCCCAATTTGCATCCAAGTATCCGTACTACAAGTATGTACATACCATATTCAGGACCCCTCTCCAACACAACAGATTCTGACTCGAGAGTAGATACAACAATAAATGGTCCCGCAGCGTCCAGAATGTCGTTGGCACGATCCTCCTCACAGGCTGGCTTGGTGGCATGGGCACTGAGTCTCGACCCGGCGAGCTAGGTCGCCTTCTGACTATCGAGGATGTCGGCGAGATCCTAAAGGGTGCGTGACGTCCCGACAAAGCACATCATTAATGGTTCGCTACTTCAGAAACATCTCTATTAACATAATCATAACGCAGTGCCCGTTAACCTCAAGGACCGAGACGCCTTCCATGTCACCATCGAAGAGTATCTGCTGGCGCTCACCGATATCACCGAGGAGCTCAGCCGACTCGCCATGAACTCGGTCACGTTGGGCGACGTAGCGCTGACAGTGCGGATCAGCAGCTTCATCAAGGACTTGTTCGCAGGCTTTCAGCTGCTGAATCTTAAGAACGACATTGTGCGGAAGCGCGTCGATGCCGTTAAGTATCACGTCAAGAAGGTCGAGGACGTCATCTACGATCTCTCCCTACGAAATCTACTCCCTAAGACTGAGTGATTTCGAGATTTCGGAGCATACATCTAGGTCTAATAGCCATTATCTTGCTACTCGCTGGAAGGCGTTTCCGTAAAGGAACTAGATATTTTATCCTCGGGACTTGCCTTTCTCTATACAGACAGAACTATCATGCCCAAACATGTAGCTTAAGCTATTGTACTAAAACTTAGACGTTGAAGTGCATGTCGTCACTTGAACTTGTCTTCAAGGTGGGATGGTGGGAGAGCTCCCATATCAGCTTATCGACTATCGATATGCTCTAGGCCTACTAAGCTAGGGTACCTAGGTGCGCGCCAAGTGAATTTCATGGCTGTGCTTTTGCTGCTGATCAGGACCCTTAATCCTTAATGTGTTCTTCCGCGCATCGTCCATTCCTTGATGTTATGCTCGTACAATACAACTCAAGTTACCTAATTGCAATTAGATTTGTCGCAAAGAGTCCGCCGGCCTACCGGACTCGCCAGAAGCATAGTATCCCTAGGCACAGCTCGCCAGTCGAATAATAAGGCAGCATGTCGCAAGCCTCAGGGAAAGGAGTCCCAGCCCAGGAGCTGGCAAAGCCCAAAGAGACAGATGCGCCGATGCAGGCGGTCCGAACGATACCTTCTCCGGAAGCGCAAGCGCTGCGAAATGCGCACCCAGCCATTCTCCTCGCTTTATTCGCCATACGGTTCCGCGCGCTGGTAGCCGACCCCGTGTCGACGATGCAGAGTTCGCTGCCCGTGGTCCTGGCATTACAGGCGGTATATACGGTTATTTGCCTCCCCGCCGCGGGCTCGCAAGGAGCAAAAACGCTACGGAAGTTGCGACCCGGCGAGAAGAAGAGGACGGGCTCAGAGACGGCTGGGCCCAATCTTGCTGTGGTAGGTTTTCCTGCGATTATTGTCCGATTATCAATAAGGGAGCTAACGCTAAACCAATCACCAGACGAGCCTTGTGGCCTTCGTGTTGACTATCGTTTCCGCTGGCGCGCTCCACGTTTTGTTGGTGCTCTTCGGCGCCCCGTTCCTAACGCACCTCCCGCATACCTTTCTCTGCTCTCTCCACCTGTCGCTCCTAGGGCTATATCCACTGTTCTACACACGCGGTGTCGTCGGAAGCGACTGGATTGAAATTCTAGGCGCAAGGGCCCCCTTCGACGAAGCGTTCGGTGGGTTAGTAGGCGCAGGCGTGGGAGCTTGGCTAGGAGCTGTTCCGATCCCGCTTGATTGGGACCGCGAGTGGCAGAAGTGGCCTGTGACGATTCTCTGCGGCATATATGCTGGGTATACCGTTGGGAAGCTGGTTGGAGGGACGCTAGCTTTTGGGAAGAGATTTGGTGATATCGAGTCGTCTTGAAGAATGTCTATATAATAGATAACAGTAAATAAATCTCATAAGACCGGACTTTTGCAAATTCGATCATTTCAAGCGCTCCTATCCTACAAATCTTGATATATAGTAGTACGTTACAACAGCCATCTATACTTTCATTTCTATCAAGAGTAATTAACATTGTTTTAGTACAGACGACAATCTCAGATATAATTCTATAGGGCTGTTGCACGGCTTGCCAAAAGAACATCAAACCAAAACCTTAGTTGCTTATAAGTTATTTGTAGTATATCCCACATCAGACTCGGCAATTGAAGATAAGAAAAATAACGAGTTTATCATCTCTACGATAACAAATAAGTTGTATAAATGAACAAAACCCTGCTTGATATTTCAATTTGCATGCGAAGAATACTTACATGATAGCATACTGTACTTAACTTACTTACCATCGGTTTTCATTTAATTAAGTCCTGCGTATTTATTCGCAGCGTGATTGACCCCTATTCATAGTGCCCCATTCTACTTTACAGCGTAAGGGAATAGAAACAGATCCCTTACTGGTAAGGATTACCAAGGGTAATGTGGTTTTAAGTCTGTATATTCGATAAGGAAGGAAGGAAGGACTAAGTAAGTCTCCTGCCTTCTTTATCTTAGGTAATCTACAGAAGTGGGTCCAGGTGGTCCCCCTGCAGGGGGACCCCCCCTTGCTATACAGATAGACAAGGATTTGGAGAATCAAAACAAAAACTTGAGTGAATATCACTGGGGCAAATAGGCAAAAGAATGGATCATAGTCGTACCGTGGATCGAACACGGAACCTTTCCGGGGCTTTGAACACATCACTGTGAACGGAAAATCATAACCATTAGACCATACGACTTGTTGTATGAGGGTTGTGTGCAAAGTAGCATCCTTGACGGAAATTGCAAAGACCACGGGAATACAAAAAGTTGCACATGATTGAAGTAGTAACTCGGATACAAGACGGATAGGTGTAGAAGACCAATAGACGCTGGGATTAACATGACGGGTGACACTAGTAATGTGGTGATCATTATTTTCTCCAATGTTTAAAAAGTTCAACATATGCTCTATCCATATTACTAAATAGCTGTGAAAGTTGACCGAAGGTGAAGTATCTAGAGTCACATACTACCTATGCTAAACAGTGACATGTACTATAATGATAAGTTTGTGTAGCGAAGGGATGAACATAAAGAATAGGGCGAGAGGATATAGTAGTGACACCACTGGTTTGTAAATACGGGTAATTACGTAGTCTATGGATGAGAAGCAACCTGAGCTGGAGTAGAATGCCTTATTGTTGTTCTGTTCTATCTAAGCAACCATCAGAGGTAATGGGAAGAAAGATTTACCCAACATGACTACCTGGCTTACTTCTTGTCGATAGGTGTTAGGTCCTTTACCGCCTCCAAATTCTTGAGGCGTGCCTCTAGCTTCATTTTTATCAATTGGGCAGCCGTACTGCTTAGTGGTAACCAGAGAGGGACTGTGTCGTTTCGGCTGGCGACTAGGTACAGAACCTCAGCTACGGCAGAGGGTGGAACGCTAGCACCGGCCGCGACACCCTTTTTTACCCAAGCAGCCAACCGACGTGCTGGCATGTCGTCTCCATTGTAGGCCTCGTGAATCTTAGTATACTTCTTGCTGCCGTGCTCGAACTCCGTCTTCACACCGCCCGGTTCGACAATACAGATGTTGACTGGCGTGAGACAAAAGAGGTCAATCAGCATGTGACAAATGTACAAGAATAAACGATGGTAAAACTCACTGTTCCAGTCCGGATGCAACTCTCGCGCAAAAGACTCCGACCAGCCTTCCACGGCAAACTTACTTGCATGGTAGAAGGACTGACCAGGAAAGGCCGCCACGCCGGCGAGCGAAGAAATGTTGAAAATGATGCCCCCGCGATGGTCCTTGGATTGCCGCATCACTCCAACAGCAGTCGTAGCCATGCGCACGACACCAAAGAAATTGGTCTCGAGCTGAGCGTGCGCTTCCCCCTCCGTCGCTGCCTCCGTGTCGCCGGCCAGCTCGTATCCTGCGTTGTTAACGAGGATATCGATATGAAAGTTATCCCCAAAGTGGTCTGCGGCCGCCTTGAAAGCGGCTCCAACCGATGCGGGTGATACAACGTCCAGCGCCAGCTTGAGAATGCCGTCGTTGTCCGGAAGGTACGATAGGCTCGAAGGGTTTCGGGCCGTCGCTATGAGGCGCTGGCCAGGCTTGCTGGCCACAAGCTCTGCGATGGCACGGCCGATGCCGCTAGAGCACCCGGTAACTATAAATCCTCAAGTTAGCTTTGTTGATGAAGGTAAAGAAATCCGTACTTAACCAGGTAGCATCAGCGGGAAGCTGGTATGGTTTTGTGTTAACTGGGTTCATCTGGATTGATTTGTTTACTCCAATTCATAGATATGTAGAAGGAACAACTATATCTCTACGGTTTGAAGATGATAGTCGCCGAGTGGAACGTTTTATATCAGAGTGATCCATCAAAAGTTATCCGGTCTGACTAAAACGTCGGCGAGCTCAAACGGGCAACGCTTCAAGCGAATCCCGGAACCAATCAGCTCGGCGTAGACGATGGGTTATAATAGCTTATATTTCTCCAAGGTAAGTCATGGTTATGATAATATTAGAAATGCGGTCGTGTACCGCTGTGAGTTGGCAATCGTTCGCTGTGACGGGGTGACACTAGAGAGATAGCTCGTATCATTAACCCGACCATGCAGTTACAAATTTTAGGCGGAGATGGATAATGTTTTCAGCACGCGATGCTTCATTGAGCAGAATATTCCGTCAAATGATATCTTTCTTGATGGACAGGCAGTCTTCATATAAGTGGAAGCGGCTTTATATCGAAAGGAGTGTCTTTCGCATTAGAGTTGGTCACATTTGTCAATCGCGCATCAAGCGTCGGTAAAGTGGTATCAAGATCAATTTTAAAAAATGGTGGGATCACGACTAGACGGTACACTCGACGCCTTCTGGCCTACAGAGAAGTCGGTATCGGAGCTTCTCGCGGGGTATAGCGAAGTCGACTGTCTCGTATGACCTATAGGCGCGTCGTCGCTGTGAGAATGCAAAGGTGTTATATCTATAAGATGACCTCGCTGGGAATTTCCAGTTTTGAATCTGACGTTATCATTGCATTAGCTTTTGGGAAACGTTAGCTTAGTAGGTATTCGAGATTGTCGAAGCGATGGGTAAGGTTGGGTTAAAGTAGGTATGTGATGTGGGATGGAAGATAGGGGTAGCAAGATTAGCTTTATAGCTGATCTTGAAATGACTTTTACTCGGGGAAGAAGGGTTAATTTTCTGTGTTTGATTACTTGTTCATCGTGGTTGAAACTAACGCATAGGTAGGTAAGTATTCGGGTTTTATCCTCACATGCTGTAACCTTCAGAGATTGATTCACCGCCACACTTCACCTAGGTAGTATATGGAAAGCAAGCCATGTTGAGCACTCACGCTGGATAATATATTGGCAATGGTTTACTCAAAGCCTATTTGCTATTCGATTTCTAGTGTTTTACCGTTCAAGCTCCATTATTACAGAATCCTTTGAATGTTGTACAAGCTGACTCGCGGTTCGCCAAAATTGCTTGTCAGGTCAAAAATACAGACAGGTAACCGATAGGCTCAAGATCCGACGCAGGTGGTGCGTTTAAAAACAAAAGGTTGATTGTTTCTGGAAAGATGGGAACCAAGGACGCAAATTGCTTTCCGTGCCCGTGACTTAGTTACATCGGGTATGTCACCTCATACCCGACTAATCAGTCCTAAACTTATTCATTTACGCGGCATACGACCTGCTTCTGTAGCCTGTCATCAGACTCTGCGTATGATTACTCAGTGGCGTAGCTATAGGCTTGCACTTGGATTAAATATGGTACGCAGTTTGCTGTACTGAGAGCTGTCAACGGATAGGTGCATGCCTCCGTATCTTGGCACAGATAATAATGGAGTCGCTTTCTTCTATGACTTGTCTTGATAGGATCCATGCATGGGACGCTTCGCGCCGATAATATCGTGAACCCCGGTTATACCAATGCAATTTTCGTAGGTAATTATACGACAGTTAATACTTCACCTTTCGGCTGTCTCATCCTGCATATGCCGTACGCGCCCGGCAGTGGAGCAGGGGCCGTAGCCGTGGACGATCCTGAGCCGGCATTAAGGAGAGCTTCCACGCAGTACAGTTGAGTGCTCAAGCGGAACGGTGTCGGTAATGTGGCTTGGTACAAACACGCTCCCTTCAATGAAAAGATCTGTCTAGTACCTATGCTTCATTAACTACGCAAATTTAGATCTAAAGGCCAAGCTTCATACCACTGGGCGGCTGAAACAAACCAGGGGTTTGGCCTACAATAATTCAAGGCTCAGCAATACAAAAAGGACGTTGGGGTTTTTGTCTTCTCTTCTAAACTTCAGAACCCCCAAGATTTTGTCAATAAGTTACTATAGCAATACAAGGATGTGCCTATCACTTGGAGTGACAAGCGAAATCTACTTCGGTATCAATACCCCAATTTAGCTGTTACTTGTAGCTATTTCTTTCAGTCTTTTCCTGCCTTCGTCATCTGCGTCTACTCATGGCATACGATCAATCGAGTTTCTCAAATTTTATGAAAAGCCGATCGCTGAGATCCGGGTTCATAGGCCGATTAGCACCGGGATACTGAGTTTCATCAGCAACGAAGGTGGCGTTGCTTGTATAAATAGTGGCGAGAGACATTCGCATTACTATACCGATCCAACAGGGTTAGCAACTTGTGGCATAAGTATTGGGAAAAGGAGCTATCTTACACTCTAAGGCGATGTTCTGACCAATGCAGTTTCTGCTGCCAGCACCAAAGGCAAAGAACCATTTTTTAGCCAAGGCGGCATCATCGCACCCTCCACAAAGCCAGCGCTTCGGATTCCAGGCAAGGGGGTTTGAATAAACATCTGGATTGCGGTGAAGACACCAACCGTAACTGCAAACACGTGTTTTTGGGGGGACGTTTGGGATAAAGCCGATCCGAGAGGTACAGTGGGCAGGTGTGACACGCGGATCGGCACTTGGCGATGTGTTGCGGAGCCGAAGGGACTCTTTGATTATCGCACTCATGAGGGGAAGCCGCTCAAGGGTGTCGGACGCCGGTATATCGGATCGGTCGCCGGCATTGTCAAGAAGGGGGTTATTGGCTGAACGTAGCTCCGCCCGGAGCTCGTTTTGGATTTCTTGATGATGCGAGATCTCATAAATCATGTATGTTAAGACAGTTGCAAATGCTTCAGTCGTAAAAGCTATTCGGCGTTAACTCTTTCTAATTGTGTACTGATAACTGTGTTGCTATCTAAGGTTACTCACCAATATGGTCGAGGCACTCACTCGCGAGCTCTCTGCGCTGAACTGAAGACATCAAGAAGCGCACTTTTGCCGTCTCGCTATGCGTCATTGCTAGATCCGACCATACAGCATCGCACAGCACCGGTAACTTCCCTGCTTCTATGGTATGCCCTTTGTCACGTTTTTGTAAGACCTCCTCGGCAGCATCAACTTTTAGCAGAGCCCAATCCTCAAACTCGCGACGAGCTTTGGCGATCTTGTTAGATACAACAGGAACCCCAAGGAAACAGAGTATTCTGGTAAGCTGCGGGTGCTCCCTAGACCAGAACGAAGATTGATCATTTGGGAAGCCGGCGTTGAACAGGTCAAACCAGTGTTGACGAGCTGCCACGTCCAAAAGAAAGTTAAGAGAGAGCGGAACACCAAAAGCAAATGCTGAAGTACAATCAAGAACGATAGACTGAGCGATAGGAAGTATGTTGGCTGTAGCGTCGAACGACATAGCAATTTGAGCTAGCAA